ATTTATTTATTTTCAATGCAACCTAAACACTCACCATATCTATAATATCAACATGAAAAAATACTTTATGAAGGTTTTAAAAATGATATTAATGAAATTTTGGCAAGTAAAAATGGATTGTGAATAAAGTGGATCGGCTTAAAGCGCGATTTATCACGTCTCAGAGAGTGACTCTTTATTTTCTTCTGAATTTGTTTTTCCAATTTTAGTCTTTCCATGTCCCTACTTGAATATTTGGAACTTCGTAAATTTTCACATTTTGGGTCCTCACTGCTGTGTCGCACTTTCTTTATTGGTGAGATAACGTTAGATCTGTACATTTAAGTGTTCCTAGAGTTTATTGATTTGAAGATTCGGAAAACGAAGCGATTGGTAGCTTTCTCGTCACCATTTATTGTCGCACTAAATACATGCAAACATGGCAAAGATGAGCAAAATAAATTGAAACTCCTGTGCCGGGAACTCAAATATCTTCTACTACAATACATTCTATCTAATCTATCACCCCGTGATATTATGGCAAGAGATTCTCTGCTTCATTCGAGCGGGAGGTGACAAGAGTAGCAGTGATGCCAACATCAGTGTATAAAATAATCAGACAGAAACATCTAAGGCTCTAATAAATCAAACTACGTGAACACTAACATTATAGTACAGTAACAAATATTCTTACGTGTAAATATTGACATAGAACTCTTATCTGAGGGTTAGTGATACCTTTGCCACAAGGAAGATGTATAGAAATAAGATGACACTTGATTTTTTTATTCATGACATCTACTGAAGATAAATGATAGATTAATAGTTTATCATAAGATTCTGAATTTCGTTTATAACAATTTGTAGAGTGTCCTTCATTGCCAAACTCGCTGATCATCGGGGTAGAACTGCTGTTCTTCATTGAGAGTTAAATTGCAAGAATCCGTTTAACGTGACTAAAGAAACTTTGTAAAGTAAAAATAATTGGGTACGTCAAGAGATGAGACGCGATCGAAGAAAAGAGAGCTCGGAATAACTTGAATGCCAGTGTAGGATGTTGCTAGACGAAATTGTAGGTTCCTGTCTCAATTCTACTGAAGGAATTCCGTGACAAAAAATGTTACGTGTCTAATTTAGAGGAACCTGTAGAAAAACGTCTATATTTACTTGAACACTGGAGTGAACTATAAAAGTAAAGGTTATGCTTCTATCTCTAAAATAACATTCCATTTGGAGATAGGTTGCTGTTAAAGTTGGCCTTGTTTGATTTAGTAACATAAATTGTGCTCCAAAGCTTGTATCATTTCTGGAACTTTATTTAATTAACAATAGAGAGAGGGCTGAATGTACTATCAATCTTACAGGATATTTCCTTTATCTGGAATACGAGGATTATATACTATAAACATTTCAAATAATTTTATCAGAATCCGTAATCTGGACGCTAACACTTTAGCTTTAAAATCATAACCTTGAAACTTCTATATCTCTCAAATGTTTACTTTTCGTGATGATAAAAATTCCATTACGACAATAAAAAGTAATAAACTTAGATTTATACTATTGTTGTCTCGCAACACATTTCTTAAAATGGATTTCATTTAATCAATTTTTCTTCTTTGACGGTAGGCAAGTCTTTCTTAAAATAACCTCAAATAATATTAAATTGTAACTTATTGCCTCACGATACAAAACTGATTCTCTGCGATCGAAAATATTTGTAGTAAGAAAGATACTTTTATTGATAAAGATTCAGTAGTATTTTTACATTGAATAATTATAAAGCAACTACAAATGCGCAATAAAAGCTATATTTTATCAATGCATATTAATCATATCTACAATTTTGTAAATTGTCATCTTGTATTTCTACATTTTAATGATTTCTCTACGTTCTTGTTTTAATTGTTAGATAACCGAGAGCGGTACCTTCAAATCTACGTCTCTGTTCTCGTATGGTTTGTGAGTGTGCCGTTTTTAGCGTTATCGTCTGAAATGGAGTTGGAAATATTGGGCTTACGTCCTTGAAGAAGTTACGTGGATTGACGGTTTCATCAAGTGTTCACAATGCACGAAGAATCAGTTACTACCCTCCATTCATTGCAAGATACTCTCAGTCAAGAGTAAGTAAGGAATTAAATACATTTTGTAGTACTTATTTGCTATTTGCTTGGTGCATGTATCACATTTCATGCCTTTATTACTAACCGAAAACTAACACCTTTGTAACATCAGCTCGAATACTTTTGCAAGATAATACTGCTTAAAATATATCTTTCTCCGCGAATAACATTGATAAGTAACTCATTCCTAACCTCAATTATAACTAACATTACGAGCCTTTTTACTTTCTCACCTTATGAATGCTTCGTAAGAAGAAAGTTACGTAACCCCCAAAAAAACAGAAAACGACGAATCCTCAATCCCTTTCCTCAATCGATCTGAATCGTGGCTTTGGGACTTTCAAACGGTTATTTTGATTTTTGAGGGTACTTCACATGAAGCCTCGAAAATATTTTCAAAATTCTCAACGGCCCCAAACTTTTTGACTAAATGTTACTGTTGAGTAGTGCTAAGGACGTTTAAGAGAATTGTGCAGATCTAATTTTTCTTGACATCCCCTTTTATCCAAAATTGCAAAAAGAAATTTTAAAACAACGAAATTAAAGAAGAAATTTTTGCCGTATACAATTTATGTTGTACAAAATTAGTCCTTTAAAAAATGTCATGTACAAGTTTTTGAGAAAATATGTAGTTTTTACGCAATTATCGCTTGAAATTATCGCATTTTTTTCTCAAAATCACTCCAAAGTTTTTGTTTGAATTTTCTTTACTTTTGGACTGTAAAAAATATGGCATAGCATTTTCGGGTGTAGCTTCATTTTTTCGAAAATACCGAAATAACGTGAGCATTTCAAAATTGAAGATGGCGATTTTTCTTTTAAAAAGTTTGTTGTAAAAAAAAGCTCTTTAAGAAAGTTCATGTACAACTTTTTCGAAAACAT